AGGCTTAGTTATAAAGCGACGATTACATTAAATTGAACACAATAGTGAATATATATAAGTACATGTGAAGTGTAGTTGTGTTGTGCTCTACACTCTGAGTTAGACTGTTATTCTCCGTTTTGATGAATTTACACTGATCAGGGAAAAGTTAAAATTTCTTCTAGTAAAATGTTCGATGAGAGGAAGCCTTATAAAGAGAATGGCGAGACAGCTCATTGTGATAGTTTCACGGGCTTAAATACCTACCTCAATACCTAGAAGTCCTTGACTGAGTAGTTAATGTAATAATTAGAATCAGGTAATAATTAGGACACCTTGTCCATGGACGGCGGTAATCACTTACTATTAGGTATCCCGTCTGCTCGTTTGCCCCCTTCCACAAGAAAAAAAAACAAAATTACTAGTTTAATCTAATAATTAATCTAGTAATTTTATTTTGTGGTGTGTAAACTTTTGTGGCGATGGTAACAAAGGCAGGCACAAGTGGAAATGTGTTAATGTGGTGGTAGTGGTAGCGGAAAGAGCAGTTCCTAAGATATAAAGATGTTCAGAAAAGACACATTAACACATTTCCACTTGTGCCTGCCTGAGTTGCAATATAGACCCCTCTCGCTAGGAGAATTGGGCTAGAGATAGACCTGAATGGAGGCGGTACGAGACAATCTCAAAAACAAACCACCCTTCGAGATTTATTACAATTACCTCAATGGTGTGCTAACTTGTCCCCACTGGGCACGTAGTTTCGGAGCTAAGATAGGGTACGTAACACCACATCTACATCAACAGTCACCGAGACCGAAATCGGCATGGGATAAGTAAGAGTTAGAAATATCAAGAGGCACTGGTATCATCAGATAAAATGAATACTAAACATAACTTATTAGTCAAATTATAATTAACATTAATGTTGAACTTAGGTAACTAAATACGTGTATGCATAAGTTAGATGATCAAATAGCTTACACAGCAAGTTCAAACACAAATAAATGTAGAGATCCCTCCTCGGTAAGCAGAATTAACCTTGTTAGAGAAGGTACTAGCAATATGTGATTGTAGTGTTACCATGATATACGAGTACTTACACACAACTTAACTACATGAACGATAAAATTTTGAAAGGTTTATTTTAGATAAATTTACAAAAACATTTTTTTTTCAAGGTAATCAAAGTAATTATATCGGATAAACAGTAAAATTACACAAATTTCTTGATAAAATTTGTACCTACGATATTAGACCCCTTCGTATGAAAAGAGGTTTAGGCGTTTATATCTGATGCAGAGGAGATCTCAGTGCATGGAAGTTCTAACGGCCATTGCTGGTTACCCTGCTTACCCTGTTATAGTCCATTAATAGTGTATTCATTCCTACTTCAACAGTTTTTTATTTCAATCTGGATAAAACTGGAGTCTAACCAATTTATCCGTTCTGAATAATTTCTCACTTTTTCTCATTTGCCTCGCTATTTCTTTTTATGAGAAAGACACTTAATGCAAATGTGTTATAACGAACAATTTAAACAGTACAATATTCCTTTATGCAGTATCATAGTACCTTTTAATATACTTCAATATGCTATATACAGTTTACGATGCTGCATTATTTACGTTAAAAGCAGGCCTTGAAATACATACTTTCATTGACTAAAATGCTAAGTGTTTGACTCAATTAACCTAATAAAGTACACATTTTGTATTTGAGAGCTTCTGATAAAAATATAATAGCAGTTTTAAAATAAAATTAAAAACTCACTCCATAGAGTAATGTAAAACGTTCACATTCTGAACAAATTCAGTTACGAAATTCAGGTTCCATCACATAAAAACTCACCTGGCTCAAAGGAAGTAAAATAAATTTTCAACAAGCTTACAGTGGCATAAATTGAATGTAGTTTTTCAGCAGGGTTAAGACTCGAGGCGAGTGAGCAATTTTCTGCCGTAACCATATTACAAACATGACATTGTTACTATAACGCAATAAGACATAGTCCTTTGTTCGTGTAACGTGTGGTCAACATGTCGTCAGTCGGGTTGACCTTCCAAACCTAATTAGACGGGTCAGAAAGACCCTTGCGTCGCACAAAAAGAGCACGATTCTTAGTACGTATTTATTTGACAAATAAAAACGTTCTAGAAGTCGGTTGTTTGTTATATTTCATTAATTTTTATACGAGATCGCTTTATGTGCGACAAATTAAGTTTCGAATACAAATATTTGTACTATCGACATGTATATAGTAAATATGAATTCTAAACGGATCTGGATTGCATTTGGCACAGACATAGATTATATTATAGCCTGGAATACTACATAGGGTACCTTTTATGCCGTAATAGGTTATTGACGAAATCGATATCAACGTGAGTTGGAAATACTAGTACAGTAATATTATTTGCATTTCACTGACTTACACCGGTCTTTGCAATGTCACCACTATAGGCAACATCATCATTATCAACAGCCTATAACAGTCCACTGCTGGACATAGGCCTCTCCTTAGAAAGGAGTCTTAGGCAACGACATGACGAAAATCATTTCGAAAGCAACACCTTATCTACGTTTATTTATTCTCAATTGTGATTAAATAAGGCAGTTCAAAACAATCCCTTCCTATTATTACATTGAGAATTGAAATCTTAGCAAAATAATTTCACTTATTAGTAGCTTCTCTTTGATTTTATTTGTGAAAGTTAAAACAAAGCGCTAATCAGATGGTGGACAGGAAACAAAGGGAGTTCGTGTTACAAATTGTTGACAAACTTTACAACTCCAATAGCCTAGTCGGAGAGTTTGGGTTTATTTTGTACCAGATAATGAATAGAGATGAACCTCTTTTTTTTTGGGAAAATTTAACAAACAGACAAACAGACAGCCCTAATTGTAAAATGATCGGTGTCATTTAAAGTGACTTAAAATTCGAGGGGTTCACTGGCAGCCACTGAGAAATTTCTCTGTTACATAATAATAGTACATATATCCCTTTATTGTACACCAGATATAAATATACAATAATTATCTTAAACCAGGTTAGTACAAATGGCAGCCTTATCGCTCAGAGCCAATCTCTTACAGGCAACCGTGGTATGGGGAGAAAACATGACGGGAAGGAGGTATTGGGTAGTGGCTGGTGTATTATTAAATAGAAAAGATGATGAACTCAAAGTAGTATATACACAGCTATAAAAAGTGATAATTACACATACGATCTATTTGTTGGACTAAGATGAATATATAACATACTAAAGAGAATAAATACTCGTATTATTATGTGCTGAACACATACACATAGTTAGTTAAAAGTCAATCTAATAAAAGATCTTTAAAAAAAAAGGCATGTATGTATACCTTACACAGGTTTATTACCGAATTTATAAGGTATTACATATTTAAGTAGAAGATATTCCTGAGATCAAAGATAATAATATAGACATAAAAGACAACAACCACAGACCACACACAGAGGTTTAACCTATCAGATAATTTTCTTATTTATTATGAACTCCTTGTCATACAAGATAACTGAATGAGTAGGTGGCTGATTATAACGTTACGTTCAGTGCCACGATTTCTTGGAAGATAACGAGAGTGGCTGGTTTTATCCATGGACCCCTTCGCCATTCTCTACTGGGCGAAGAACATCCATGAGGATCTTCCAAACCTTAAAAAAAAAAACACCGACATACAAATAATTTATATTCATTATTTCTACTGATTTGTTTAAAATCATTTATATAATAAGATGACCGGATGGCGTAGTTCGTGTAACGGACTGCTATTCCAAAAGTCGCGGGTTTTATTCCCGCTCAAATCAAACATTTGTGTGCATGATTATTTAATATTTGATATGTATAAAATGTATTAATATCAGTTGTCCAGTGCCCATAGTACAAGCTCTGCTTAGTTTGGGACTAGATGGCGTTGTGTGAATGAATGAATGAATGTAAATTTGATTTTTAGACATTTAGATAATTAGTCATAAGCTTGCAATGTTGCCGTGGAAGTAAGCCTGTAAGAATATTGTAAATGTCTAAATAAATAAATAAAAAATATTCATAATGAAGTCTTCTATCATTTTTTTGTCCGTGAGACAAGGGATAGTTAATCCCAAGAGTTACATTTATTGACAAAGTCTTTAAAAGCGAGGGTAAAACCACTGGCAAAGCTTAGTATTAAATTTAACAAAACATCTTTATTCACTTACACAATTTACATATATGATACTAGCGGACCCGACAGACGTTGTCCTGTCAAATTTGACACTCCGATGGTAGCGCCGTCTGTCTGATTCAATGTAAAACATTCCAAAATCAACAACTACTAATAAATTAAAAATTAATTAAAAAAACATTGTCCAGCGGACAAAATTGTGAATCTAAACCATTCCCAGATCCCCTTGAACACACACAAAAAATTTCATCAAAATCGGTCCAGTCGTTTGAGAGAAGTTCAGTGACATACACACTCACAGAAGAATTATATATATAAAGATATAGAATTTGTTTGCCATCACTTTTACTTTTGGATCAAAATCATAACCATTAAGTAAACAGTAAACATACGCTTCAACCACAACTGTATATGTTTATGCTAGAAACAATTTAAGGTAGTACTTCTGTTCTTACCAACTATTCGCAGTTTTCTCCAGCAACACTTATAAGTCAGTCGTAACTTCAACCACTTTCTTTGTCCCTCGTAATGACCGGGCACGTGCCGTTGCTTAGCAACTGACGGAGAAAAAGTTACGCGTTGAATAAGTCACTTTTCTGTACATAAGGAGGAAAGGCGCCAATTCGAATATAGTTTGTAGAGCGTGTAGTAGGAAACGTGAGTTGGCATTTTTTATTAACAGTTTGTATTTTATTAGCCTTTACCAACAGTTACATAGTCACTGCTCACATCACACAAATGTTTGATTCATAAGAGCCGTAGCGCGATGCTACTCAGCTTATAATCTGCCGCAATGAATATTTTATCTATATTTTTGATTTTGATGAGTTAAAATGAAGGTCCCCTCTTTCCCTGCTTCTGGAGGGTAGGTCTTCGTTTGCCCCTATACCGTACAAAACCTAGTTTAATGTAATTGTCTCGCTATTGTTCGCTCCTAGTATTCTCGTTTATCCCTCCAGGTATACTTAAATGGGAAATAAGTTTACTTGATAGAGGTGATATCCGATCTATTATATTACCGCCTCTTGAGTTTCAGACATAAACACGTTTAAAGAAACATTAATATCTGAAATCAAATTAAAAAATCTTCTGCTTTTTCTCGTTAGCTTAGATTGAAAAGCTAAATTGTAAATTTTCATCTTAATTTTACTTAATATTAATAACATAATTTTAACAGTTTGATGATGTCAGAAGTTCTTGAATTTCAGCTGAAGTGAAGTTTTGACTTATCACAAAACTGTTTGAATCTAAATCCATATTTCAAATAAAATCAGTAATGATTATCGACGATAATGTATTTGCCAACTTTTCAAATCTCTTCAGGATTTTATATATTTGAATTTCAATACTTTGGAAATATTTTGTTTTACCTCATTCTTACTGTAAAGTAAAATAGGGCAACATAACATTATATAAGAATCACTTTAAAAACCACAAGAAAATCATTGCGACTCTTATCTGAGTCAGATTCTTGGACACTCGGCGGTTTAGTTCAGTAAAGTGACGATACCGGTTAGCTCAAAATTAAAATTATTATTTTATATGGAGACCAACCTGAACCCAACAGGGTATTAGTACAATTATGCAAGTTTCTTCTAAAAGCCATTTACCATTCATAGTTTTATATTGTCTCCTTGTCCAGATGGTACCGTGAAACCGGTGGAGGAGTACTCCGTGACGTCCGTGACGGCGAAGGCGGCGGACGATACAGCCGGTCTCACGACGCACTGGCTATCCGAAGAGCAGAAGTAGCTGATGCTGGACGTTGGGCATGCCGCGCAGCAAACTCTCACGGTCACCTGACTCTGAGACTTCATCTTGCTGTGAGGGCGCATTTGACTGTTCATGCTCAACCTCATACACAGGTATACACTTATTTATTATTATCTCTTGCCCACGGCTTCGCCTCGTATATGTCGGTTCGCGCATTAAAAGCATCCTTTGTTACTCACGAATAATTTAGCTTTTTACTGATGAAAGATTTTTTTAATTTTTAGGCGTGAAAGCGTAACAAATAAACATACAAACCCACTTTTACAGTTAAAATAAAAAAATATCTAATAGGCTAAATAATGATCACTCTCATCACACAATCATTTGTACTGGAATCAAATCTACCGGTAAAACCCGCTCATCAGTCAGGATATATTAGGCCAACAGGCCTGCGGACAGGCGCTAGGAGGGGTCTGAATGTCTTAATAACAGCAGTTCCCGGCCCCCTCCTACTACAGGCGCAGAGTGGCACACCGTGTGGTTTTTGTCGGTGAAGTCCCCGATTACCCCGATTACCGGATTAATCCCCGTAAGGTGACGGCCCGAGGGGGTTGCCGCACGTAAAAAGCAAAAAGGCCAACATGCCTGTCGAAATAATTAACAAATTATTAACATTTACAGAAACATTGAAGGAAATCTTTATCACATAGCAGCAAAAGCAATGAAAAACCAACAAATTAGACAACTTTAGATACAATTGTTTTCAAAAGTTGACACACTTTGGTGAAAAACAGCGTTTTTCATTCTTTATAATGTTTAAACTTTTGTTTAGACCGACCATTATTTTGAAATATTGTTTTATTTTCTTCTTGTTTGTTTATTTGAGACGAAAAACTTAAAACATTAATTTTATTACTTTTATCTACGTGTTGGTACAGTAAGGAGGAGTAAAAATCAGTCATAGGTATTTTTTATATTACGTATTTATATTTATTTACACAGTTTTTTGATCATCTTATTAAAAAAATCTCTTTTGCCCGCGACTTGACTTAAGTTAGATATAGTTATTCAATGTCTCTTGAATAGCACTCCTGCGTTTACCCTTTTGCCAACGTACCATAGGTTTATCACCCTATTCATCAAAATAAAAACACGTTATTTCACCAAACAACTATGAATATTTAAACATATATATAATATTATCAGACAGTACAATTGCTGAGTTTATTTCAGTCTGTATTTAAACCTCCATTTACAAATTACGGTACCGCAATAAACCCAACTCGTTAACTCAATATTACTTCATTGCAATGACGTCCGAATTGCCCGAGGCAAATATTAAAAGGTTTTTAATTAATGAAAACAAACAGGTATGGTACAAAGTGGGCATTCATGTACCTGTGGCTGCGGGCAACGATGGTGTAGGTGACATAATACAATATCTTGTCATCTAGCAAAGCTAGAATTACCCAGTATATTGTGATTAGGGGAACACACATACACTACGCGACTTATAAATGGGTAAGTGTGTCTGTCTTTTACCTCTTCATACTTAAACCGCTAAAGTGATTTAGATTAAATTTGGTATAGAGATAGTTTGAGGCCCGGAAAGGACTTAGGATAGTTTCCATCCCAGAAATCACCCTTTAAGGTGGTAAAAAGGGGGGTAGAAGTTTTTATGGGGAATCAATAACCGCTGAAAAGAAATTTTATATGGCGACAGTTTAAGTTGTGGGAAAGGATATGGAATAGTTTCATTCCCGAAATCATCCCTTAAGGGTGTATAAAGGGAAGGTGGAAATTTGTAAAGGGTATCAATAAAAAACGAGTAAGAGTTTTGTCGTTTAACTTTTCGTTAGAAATAAATATTTTTTATGTATTTTTAACCAATTAATCATCCCCTTTAAGCTGTAAATGGGAACAAAAAAAATAAAAATTTAAAGGCCCTTATAGTTTGAAATTAAAGAAAATTTGGTTAGAAGCGTTTTGGGACGTTTGAAACAATCTGATTTACAATTGGTTAGTCTAAAAGGGTGTAGATAAACATGGAGGCTAAGTTCGGATACAACTTTTTTGTTTTTTTTTTTCCGTGCGGAAATCCAGGTGGCATGTCGGACTCGAACCGACTAAAACCGCACGCCGTCTCGGGTACTAATAGCCGGGGAACGAGGTATACCCTAGAAAGGAAGTCCCTGGTGCCCCGACATACTTCGGGCCATCTACAACAACAGGTAGACCCCCCCCCCCCCCGTGTGTGAACCCCATGTTCCCTCTGCTCCCTGGAAGCGAGCGCGCTTCGCAACGCGCTCGCTTCCAGGGAGCAGAGGGAACATGGGGTTCACACACGGGAACCGCGACAGTTTAAGTTGTGGGAAAGGATATGGAATAGTTTCATTCCCGAAATCATCCCTTAAGGGTGTATAAAGGGAAGGTGGAAATTTGTAAAGGGTATCAATAAAAAACGAGTAAGAGTTTTGTCGTTTAACTTTTCGTTAGAAATAAATATTTTTTATGTATTTTTAACCAATTAATCATCCCCTTTAAGCTGTAAATGGGAACAAAAAAAATAAAAATTTAAAGGCCCTTATAGTTTGAAATTAAAGAAAATTTGGTTAGAAGCGTTTTGGGACGTTTGAAACAATCTGATTTACAATTGGTTAGTCTAAAAGGGTGTAGATAAACATGGAGGCTAAGTTCGGATACAACTTTTTTGTTTTTTTTTTTCCGTGCGGAAATCCAGGTGGCATGTCGGACTCGAACCGACTAAAACCGCACGCCGTCTCGGGTACTAATAGCCGGGGAACGAGGTATACCCTAGAAAGGAAGTCCCTGGTGCCCCGACATACTTCGGGCCATCTACAACAACAGGTAGACCCCCCCCCCCCCGTGTGTGAACCCCATGTTCCCTGTGCTCCCTGGAAGCGAGCGCGCTTCGCAACGCGCTCGCCGCCACCCCGCCCTGCTTCTGCTAGGGTGACAGATGGCCTCACCTGTCACCCCCAGCCCTGCGCTTTTGGAGGACGGAGGTCGTAAGGGTTCGGATTCACCTGGAATTTTGAAGCAATCTCAAACAACCAGGAAGGGTGGTTTTGAAGTTTACTGAAAGTCGTATATACAGAGGGCTTCTAGGAACAATACTACATAATGTTTTGGTTTGCCCTTTAACCCAGATAACAAATTTGTAAATTATGTCTTAATAAAAAAAACAGATAACTACCGCACTAGGAATTAAACATACCTGAAACGGTCACAAAGGACACCCAGACTCAGAACAACAATTTGTGGATCATTCAAAGTGTCGTCCCATGTGGGGATCGGACCCACAACACTCAGCGTTTTCGTTGGATCCCAGTTTTAGATCCCATTTTTTTTTTATTAACGATGGGTACCATTTACTATTTCTGTTAATAACATAATTCACTCAACAAATATCAAACGATGTATGACAGTTAGCTCCAAAGTATAGATACGAGTATGATTATACTTTGTTATATAAATTTTGCTTTCGCAAGAGACGTCTACCAAAAAGATTCGATAGATATTGGATGTGTATCACACTTGAAACTTTCCATAAAGTCAGAAGAAACCAATGTTTTGTTATCTATCGAAGATTTATAATGGCATGTATTGGATAATTTCAGATCGGCCTCTGTCCATTCAATAATAGATTTAATTAACATTTTTTACTGCCTTCAAAAAGAGGAGGTTCTGGTTAATGTATTGTAATCTCTTTGCTATTTATATACCAATTACGATCATTCATTTCTGAATGAATTAGCTCTTCTCGAAGTTCCTTCCATTGAAAATTAAATAAAATATTCTAAGAACCGAAAATTAGACATCGAAGAACAAAATTAATTACAATTTAACAAAATTAAGGCGGATTGTTTGCGAAACTTTACAAAAGTTGAGTTAGTTTTGCTTTGAATCAAGGTTTTAGATACTACATTTATTGGCTTAAAATATTAACTTTAGTCATAATTAACTCGTAAATTTAATTTGTGGCTGTACTATCTGATTAGCCCGACAGTAGATATATTTCTGAGTAATAATAATAATAATAATAATAATTTATTCAAGTAAGTACTTTATAGACCTAAACATACCTTTAATCATAGCTTATACTTGCAAACATATTTTACGTATCCACTACGTCATAAATCATGACGAAAAACCAGACCAATTTAAATTCACGAATTTACACAAGTAATTATTTACACTGAGTAGGAATCGAATCAGTAACTCCTGAAGTCGCAGTTGTATCTCTAAGTTTAAAACTCAATCGAGTACCAACCTAAGCCCAACACCACGCCTAAATTAAAAAACTCACACAAAATATGGACAAATATTCAGATCTCTACGTTTACAGAATTCGGTGATTCAACGTTTTTTTCTCTTTGACAACATCCAGATGCAAATAAAACAAGTCACGAGTTATACGCCTGACAACATTTTGCTTTAAAAATCAAATTGAAACGCAGAAAACATTCGTTTAAAAATCCGATTTCCGTGTACACAAATATCGTTAATATTTAATCAGATAAGCGGGGTTACTATTGGGAGGTAGTTGAAAGAACCTTTAACTACAATATTTACAAAGGTCTGCAAATAGTGGAATGTTGAACCAAAAAAGTTGTTTTTATCGAATTAGCCTAACACTGTTACAACGTTTTGATTAGTGTAATAGTAACAGAATGAAAAAGTGCTACGAAAATTGGTTCCAACGTTTGCAAAAGTGCATCGATCATCACGGCGAATATTTTGAAAAGCAATAAAACTATAATAAATGCTATATTTGTTTTACTTTGTTATTCCGGATACATAAATAGCAGCCCTCGTACGAAGCTTCGTAAAATGTAAGTAAGATTAGAGTTTTTGTTCGTTACGAGACAAAATATAAAATCTGGTCTTTCTTAGTTCAATTTCGTATTTTAATTATGTGTAGAATTAAATAATTTTCTGAACTAAATGCCAAATGTATTCTTTAAAATTCTAACACTATTTCGTTATTTCATACACAGATGTTCCGTGACATTTCCCGTGAAGATTTAACCTCATTATTTTCTTTATTATTTTTTTTAACATAGAAAAGATTATCGTATGTATACTTTGTACATTCATTTATAGAAAAAGGCTATTAGAGTCAAGAATT